TATCTGCTCTTGGACATCAGCTTCCATGCTGCCAGGATGTCCAAGACGTCAGACAGCTAAAAACTCATGTAGTTGTTACGGTAACAAGAGCAAAAGACCAAAGGAAGATCCCAGATATTATCGAGTACTAAGTGCCAGATATGAGCGAATCTTCAGATGATTCTAGTCATGCCCAGACTTCAAGGCTTCCCAACAGAGGCCCCAGTTTTCACAGAACAGAATCAAGACATTAGCACTGTGCCTTTTCTGAATTTCTAACCCACGGATGGATGACAACATTACAACTGTTGTTTGGGGTGCTTTAAGATCCCCTGGAGGAGGGCATGGCAACTGACTCCAGTATTCTTTCAGAGAAGGAAATGGCAACCCACTCTAGTATTCTTGCCTAGAGAGTTCCATAGACAGAGGAACCTGTCGGCCTACAGACCATGGGGATGCAGAGTCAGGCACCATTGAGCAACTAACACTTTCACTCTCGTGAGCACATAGAAAAGATTTCAATATATCAAAAATAAAAAATAGAAAATTACTGGGAATTACCTAAGGCAGTAATAAGAGAGAAATTTAGAGCTTTAATATAAATAGAAGGAAGGAAATAACAAATGTAAAAGCAAATATAAACAACAGAAAAAGAGCACAAAATAACCAAGCCAAAACTCTATGAAAAGATTAACAAAATTAATAACCCTTTGACAAGATAAAGCAAGAAAAAAAGATATAAATTATTAATATTGGTAATGAAATAAAAAATATCAGCACAAATCCTAACATCATTAAAAAAGAATATGAACAACTTTATATCAATAAATTTGGTAAATTAGATAAAAGATACAAATTCTATGAGAAACACAAATGATCAAAACTGATACAGAAAGAAACAGAAAATCTGAATATTCTCATTATATGAAAGAAACTGAATTTATTATCAAAACCTTCACAGAAGAAAACTTGAGGTCCAAATAATTTCACTAGTGAATTTTACTGAACACTGAAGGAAAAAATAATACAAACTCAGAAAACAGGAAGGTAACATTTTCTAACACATTTTAAGAGATCTTGGGAATTCCCTGGCTGTCCAGTGGTTAGGACTCAGTGCTTTCCCTATTGAGGGCTTGGGTTCAATCTCTGGTTGGGAAACCAAGATCCTGCAAGTTACATGGCATGGCCAAAAAGTAAAATAAAATAAAAAGAGACAGTATAATCTAGATAACAAAACTTTATAAGAGAAAACTACAGATCAATATCCCTCATGAATGCAGATTAAAATTTCTCAACAAAATCCTAGCAAATCAAATTCAGCTACACATAAAACAAATAATACATTATAACCAAGTGGGGTTTAAGCCAAGAATGAAAGGGTGGTTTAACATTTGAATGTCCACCAATGTAACAAAATAAAAGATAAAAACCACGATTATCTCAAAAAATACAGAAAAATGATTTAACCAATTCAGAAAAAAAAAACTCAGCTAATTAGGCAAAGAAATAAATTTCCCTAATAAAAGGTGCACAGAAAAAAACCTGTTACAATATCATACTTAATGGTGAAATACTGAATTCTTCCCCTCTAAGATTATACAAGAAGGCATTCGTTGATTCTACTAAACACTTTATCAGATGTTCAAATAAGCACAATAATGCAAGACGATATAGTAAAAAGAAGATTGGGAAGGAAAAAGGAACACTGCCTTTATTTATAGGCAATATGATCATTTACACAAAAAACATAAAGAATCTACTAGATAATTACTATAAATAAGTGAATTTAGGAAGACAGCAAGATACAAGAGTAAGATCCAAAAATGTGTTTCTTATACAGGGTACAGGGAACTATATTTGATATCATGTGATAAACCATAATGGAAACAATCATAGAAAAAGAATGTGTTTATGTACATAACTGAGTCACCATGCTGTAGCAGAGACTGTTCCAGCACTGCAAATCAACTACGCTTTAATAAAAGAAAATTTAAAAGTGTTTCTATGGGCTTGTAACAATCAAATTAGAAGTCTAAACTTTTAAAAAATTCTCTTTACAATACAATGAAAAAACACGAAATATTTGTGACTAAATTTAGCAAAAGACCTCTCTACTGAAAATTCTATATCCCTGCTGAAAGAAATGAACAAAGATCTAAAATGGGGACATACCATGTTAATTCCCTGTAAATAAACCTGCTATGGATTACATGTAATTCTAATCAAAATCCAAACAGGTGTTCTGTCAAATTGGTAAGTGGATTCTAAAATTGACATACAAATGCAAAGAACCTAGAATGAAAAATGCTGAAAATGAACTTATATCACTTGATTTCAACATTTGCTATAAAGCGGTATTAATCAACCGTTTTTGTATTGGCATAAAACTAGGTAGACCAATGAAATAGAACACTCTAGATAAGAAGTCATTAAAAGATGTTCACAGAAAGACTTACACAAAAGAGCTTACAGCGATGATAATCATTGTTTTTAAAAACTGGAAATAATCCAAATGTCTATCAACGGTAGAATGCATAAATAAATGTGTGGTATATTCACACATAACATCTACTCAAAAATTTTTAAATGAACTACCGATAGGCACATAAACACTATGCTGAGTGAAAGAAGACAGACACAGAAGGTTAAATTACCCCATTCAGTTGAAATTCAACAACTGGCAAACTATGCTCCAGTGATAGAAATCAGAACAATGGTAATCTATGCGTGGTAGGAACGAATTGGAAGGAGGCATAAGAAAACTTTCTCAGGTGATGGAAATGTTCTTGTAATTGAAGCAATTAAATAAGAACATATATTCATGAAAACGGATTGACCTGTATGCTTAAGGCATTTGCATTTCACTGTAAATTTTACTTGTAAGGAAACATACTAGGACTTCTGGTCATAAGATGTCATTACGGGAGTGAAAATGCAAACCAGACAGGGACAAGATGTTTGAATCTGTTTTAAAAAAAAAAACGCTTTAATAAATTAATAAGTAAAAGACATATAAAAACATGGGCAAACAACATGAGTGGATGTTTCTTTTGAGGATATACAAATGCTCAACAAATATAAGAAATAATACTCAGTATCATTAGCATTAGAGAACTACAAATGAAAAGCAGAGGACACTACTACACAGCTACCAGATTGGCTACAGTTAAAAAGACTGACAGTGGAAATTGTTTATGTGGATGTGAAATGAATGGAACTGTCAAGCATTGCTGGTAACAGTGTAAACTGCTCTAACCTCTGTGGAAATATGTTTGGCATTCCAAACCAGAGCCAACACAGCTAAACCTGCTTCAACATTTCATTCTTACTCATTTCCATAAATATCTAGCTTGGGTGAAGTTACATAACAGGAAGCATCATTTCAAAGATGGGAGACTAGATCCATTCTAGGACAAAACTGTGGTGAACAGGTCATTTAACCCTGCATACCAATCAGGTGGCATCAATGGAAAGATTTAAAAAGCCAGATCATATTTTCAGCATACTCTGGTAGGAATAACTTAGTCAACAAAATACTACAGTAGAGAAAAACTTACAGGTTTGCAGGTGATGGAAGGAAAAACAGGAGAGAAAATAAACACCATAAGATTTGGACAATGTCAGAAAGTGTGAAGGAAAATGTCAAAGCATGAAAATTTGCTGCAGTTTTAAAGTTTATTAAAATTCACTTTTATCAAGTACAAAGTACATTAAAAAAGAGAGTTAAGAAAGGCATGCATCCACCACTGCCTCCTGATGCTATTTAAAAGATAGTACAAAGGAGATGACACAAGACTTTCTATGGGCAGCACAAGAGAAGTGTTACAAGAGATGTGAAGCAGCAGCTACTTGGTGCTACCAAATGAAGCCACATTATGCTACAAAAGCAAGGTCAATAAATCTGTGCCCAAACTCCTTGCCTAAACAGAGCAGACTGTTTGGAGTATCAGTCAGAGACCTTGAAACAGCAGAGTACACTGTAAATGTCAGATTCTTCTAATAACATACAGTCAAACAGTCTTCCAAGGTTTGGAATCCAAACAAACTAAAAACTACAAACTGAGTGGCACTGCAGGCTTCCTCAATTTGGGACTTGCTGGTGAAAAGTGGTCCATGAAGCTTTACAGACAGCAAGTGACCTCATGCTCACTCTAGATTAATCCTACTACTGGTCAGGTCCTAGAACGAATAACTGCAAACTCTTAGGAACTACACTTCTTATGTCATTTACGGCAAAAAAACATACTTTAAAAAAACTCATGTCAGTAGTTAAGTCATTACACAGTGAAAATATCAGTATTGATATAAATATCCATAGTTACACATTCCTAGAACCGTATCCTTAATTATATCAAATTCTGTAAAGTCCTTCTAATTGATGCTATTTTATGAACACCCTGCCAGTGTGCTAAATTAAAAATGTCTCATATAAAACACTGCATAATCAATCACTGAATGTACCATCTTCTTTTAGGTTTCCTATCTCAATACCACTGCCTTCCCATCCCCCCTAGTTTTCAGTTTCTCCCAGTATCTGCTCTATATATCTACACCGAATTGACTGCAAGTCTTACATTTTCACAAATGTCCTGGATCAGGCTTTCATGATGGTTAGACTATCAGATCTCACTTTTGGATGTGTACTAAAACTCATGCTAGAAAGAAGCTTTTAAAATATAAAAAAATCTTTCTGCTGTGGCCACATCCCAAACTGAGTCAAACTCAGGGGGTAACAAGTAGGTAGAATTGTAGATAAAACATAGGATACCAGTTACATTTTAATTTCAGATAAACAATGAATTAAAAAATTGTTCTGGAAAAAAAGGACCTCAATTTAAAATATTTTAAATACAGAATTAAGCTGCAAAACCATCCAGCTGCTGTGTGTATATATACATATATACATACATACATATACATATACATATATATACATGTATATATGTATATATATACATAAATATATATACATATTTTATGCCACAGAGTTATACTGAGTAATGATTTAAATGACCGCATACCTGGGAGGAGCTGTTGGATAGATAACTTTTATGTGCTGGAATGCTAAATCTTGGTTTAAAACTTGCTTGATCCACGTTCTCAATCCTTGTCCAGAATCACCTGATGAATCACAAAGTCTAGATTAAGTTAAAACATTTTGCAGCACAGTGTTTTGACAGAACAGTGTATTTAAAAGCAGTCTATAACTTTCAGGTCACATAAGCTGGAACAAGAAATAAAAACTCTTCATAAATAAACTGTATAGAAACCAACTTATCAATGTGGACTAACTGATCAAGCATCAATAGTTAGAAATAGTTCTGATTATTTTACTCCTGACTCCACCCACTGATCACTTTAAAGCCCTCTTTAAGCTTTATTTTTTAAATTTCCCCATCTGCTTACATAATAGGTATAAATAAATAAATTGATTTTTCTAAAAAAAAATCCCATATATGATTTCAAACACTGTCATTTCTTATTTTATTCTTAAAAATAGTAAATTCCTAAAGTGCTTATAAAGTTTTGCAATTGGAACAACAATTTTCTTTTGGTTAAAACAACAAATTCCTTCAAAAGATGTATTTAGCATACTTTTATTTTTGAACTTGAAAAAATGAAAAATTAATTTTGACAATATGTTTACATAATCTAAAATAATGATCATACATCCCATGGCTGAAAAATAACCAAGCCTCATGCAAGAATTGATATACATGTATTTCCATAAAAAAATTAAACTAGGTTCACTTTAGGTAGTCTTAAAGAGAAAAATTTCAAGTTAACAACTCTTGGTTTGTAATCAATCAATTCATTAAGATAGCAATTTTAAAAGTATCTACTGAATACCTATTAATGTGTGAGACATTATTCTTACTGCTAGAGAGGCAGGGACAGAAAGGTGATGGAGAGAAAGAATTCCTGCACTCATGGAGTATATTCTTACTGCTAGAGAGGCAGGGACAGAAAGGTGATGGAGAGAAAGAATTCCTGCACTCATGGAGTATATAGCTTATTGTGAGAAACAGACATCAGTCAAATATCCATATACAGAAATGTGAAAGAAAGTGGCTACAAATGTAACCACTGCAAAAGAAAGACACTAGGTGCTTCAAGGATTTCTTATATTTGGAATTACCCCCAACAAGATTCAGAGATAACTTCATTAGAATATAAGCTCCACAAGGATGGTTCATTTTGTGTTTAGCCACTGAGTTATTTGTTCATCTGATGCCTAAAACAGGACTGACACAAACTAGGCATCCAGTAGATAGTTGTGGAATGGTTTGAACTGAGATCTATGGGATGGTGAAGAGTCAAGTACAGAAGGAAAAGCAGCTCAGACAGCACAAGGCAGATGCTGAAACCCTGCAAAGGAAGGAGCAGTATGGCATCGAGAACTGAAAGGCAGAAAACGAGAGGAAGAGCAGTGAGAACATGGAGAAGCCGAGAAGGTCATTTTTTGCAGAAAGGGGGCACACTTCTAAGGATTATTCTGGAATCCTTATTCTGGAAGCTGTGTGAAGACAGGCCTGAAGGAGGACAGAGATGTGGAAGGATCAGTCAGGTGGTTGCTGTTCAGATGACAGTTGCTTAGACTATGGAGTAAACAGAAATAGATACTAGACATAATAAGGAGATGAAATTAACATCTCCTGCATTGGCAGGTGGATTTGACCACTGAGCCACCAGGGAAGTCAATGAAATTAACAGAAACTGGAAACAGATTAGTTACCAGCGGTCAGTCATGACAGGTTTCAAGGCTGACAGCAAAAGTGTTTGGCCAGAGAGGAAACACAGGAAACAGCAGGTCTGCAGACACCAAGTATGAGGTACAAAGGGCTGAGCCAACTACAGCCAGCTGGAGGACAAAATCCAGGTCCCTGAGGGCTGAGAGCTAAGAAAGGCTTTTTAAAGAATTAAAAAAAAAAAAAGAAAGAAAGAGAGAAAGAAAGAAAAAGGAGAAAACAGAAGAGAAAAAGAAAAATATGTGAAGGAGAATTGATGCGACCCACAAAACCTAAAATGGTCACTACCTGACCCTTTACGTAAGTCTACTGACCACTGCCCCACACTATCTGCTGCCAGAATCCTCCTCAGGTGTCTTTTCCTGCTCCTATCACTCTAGGCATCCTAGCCTTACTGCCATTCCTTGAATGTTCCTGGTCTTCCTCTTGTCTGTACAGTCTAACCCAATATTCACATGATTCACTCAAGTCTAGCAGCTAAAATACTGTCTATATGAAATCTATTCTGATCACCTTATTTAAAACTGTAATCCCATCATACATCTCATTTTCCTAATCTTGGCTTCTTTCTTTCCAAGGAATGTACTATCTTTTACCATTAATACCTCCTCCAGTAGAAAGAAAGGCCCTTGAGAGCAAGGCTTTCTGTTGTTTTGTTCATTGTTGTATGCCCAGAGTCAGGAACAGTGCTTTGCACAGTGACCACATAATAGGTATTTCTTCAGTGAATGAATTTATGCATGCATGACTATTAGGCAATTGGATAAACAGGACTAGCGCTCAAAGGAGGTCTAAAATGAAGACGCATATTTGTTTCACATGAATGGAGATAAAAATAGAATCTGTGGGCTTGCATGGAATTTAGCCTGGGGAGAAAAATGTAGAGGGAATAAGAGAAGAGGAGCGAGGTCTGAATTCTGAGGAAATCAATATTAATGGCCAGGGAGAGGGAAATGAACGTGCAAAATAAGCCACAGAGCAAACAGCAGCAGAAAGAACCAGGAGGGTTTCCAGAAGAAAGCTGAATGCTGCTGACAGTTCAAATAAAAGGATGACTGAAAAATGCCCATTATATTTAGCAACACAGAGGTTACTGGTGACTTCAGTAAGAGCCAACTCAGTCAATTCACTAAGACCTACTATATGGGGAGAAAGCAAGTCATATAGGGTTTGGCTCTATGTGAATCTTAGAGCTCAGTGTGAAATAGACATTAAATTAGGTGAAGCATATAACAGCGTGAATTAATCTAACCTGAGAAGTAAATAAAGCTAATTAAGCTATCGTGCTTTCATCATCTTGAAAGAAGATATTGGTATTGTAGTAACTGGAAATGCTAAAATTAAATTGATTATATATAACACATTCATTCACACATGATGTTCTAGGTTGTTGTATTCTATAAGAGAACCTCAAGTTCTCAAGATTTAAAAAAAAAAACCAAAATCTGCCTCTAAACACTTTTTTACCTTGAAAAGCAAAACTAAATGTTACAAAAGAGCATGGATCCATCCATTCACAAAGGCCAATCCTTAAAAAGCCAGCACCTGATTCTAAGAGTATAGAAATTGTTAAAACTGGTTTGCCACATTTGTATCAATCAGAAGTCAAGCATATACTATACCACAACCACATATATCATTGTCTAGTGTAAAATCATATTCCCAGTAAGTTGGAGCACAAAATACACAGGAATTGCATTATACTTGCATAAGTGGCAGGATTCTTTGGATAAACTCTTTGTTGAAAGTACAAAGGGGAAAAAAATTGCAGGTACAAGTCTGGGTTTCAGATACACACAGTCACAAATTTTAAAATGTCAGTAATTTGAAACTGAAAGGAGTAAGGATAGTAACTTTAAGCACAGTGGTCCAGGTGAAAATGAAGAAAAGTCTCAGAGTATTTCCTAAAGATATTGTGGAATAATTTATTTATTAAAAGGACTGTAGCACTGGGGAATTTCTCGGTGTTTATTTCTGGCTGCTGTTTGCAGCCCCAAATAGTATTAGTATTAGTCTCTGAGTTATAAGCATTGCTGTCATCTTAGGCCTTTCATCTTCTAAGTATATTTCATCAGCCAAGTATTTCCCTTTAAATATCTTTGGCCCTTTTTTTCTCTATTTCCAAAATGATAAACACTAGATCACAATTTTTTCACTTCACCTCTCCAGAGCAGTGATTTTGGAGTCAGAGATCTGGGTTCAAATTCCAATTCTACCACCACTGATTGCAATAGCCAAGTAACCTCGGACAAACTATTCAATCTACCAAGACTCATTTTAAAAATGAGAGTATTTCCAGGTTTCCACCCTGTACCTTTGCAATCCCCTCCACCATCCAATCACTGTCCTCTTTAAGCTTACACAAGTCTTGGCTCAAAGACCACTTCCTCTGTCAAACCTAACAAGCTCTTCATCTTCCAAAAGCGTTGATAACGCCTAACCATTTTTTTTCCCCTCTTAAAATTCAGTTGGCAGTAAATCATGCCATCGTGGGCTCTGACCACTGCTGAGTAAAACTAAATGAACTGCCTTTACCTTTCGGTGGGCCCCCTAAGGACACAGGCTGCGTTTCATTTCTTTAAAAAACATTTCCCAAGAATTTACCCCAGGTTGCACTAGGAATGCAAAAATTCAAACAAGAGTTTGAATCTCTTGAGAAAGAGAAAGAAGGGAAGCGGGGAAGACAGGAAGAGTGTAAGAAACGCTATACAGAACTGAGTACCTTTATGAAAGGCAGGCAGTGGAAGAAGAACTTGCCCCTGGGGCTCCGCTTTATTTTGGGGGCTGAACGACAAGAGGGGCAAAGAGAAGAGGAAGGAGAAATGGGGGGCGGGGGGCACTTTAGCCCTGGCACAGTGCCTCACAGAAAGGAGTAATAATCCACTGCGGCTAAAACTCAAATCACTAATAACTGACTAAAGTACTACATAATGTATCTGTCTCTAGCAGAAAACGTATCTAACTTGCTCTGTTTAAACTTGGAGGAAGCGACGGGGCGGGGGGTGGGGGGTGGCGGGGGAGGGATGTGTGTGGCCAAGGGCTGCAATGGAGAATGTGAACAGAGGGCTGACCAAGTGACGGGGCACAAAGGCCAGAAGCGAGGACGCGAAGCAGTGGCCGCAAGACAAGAAAAAGGAAGGCAAGGGGATACGGCTGTGGACCGGTTACCAGCTCCCGTGTCCACATCCGCGGGGGTTAACAAGGAGGCAAGGTCACCCGTGCCTCCACGAGGGCAACACTGGGGGAACCGAAGACGGGGGCGTTTCCCATGCTTCAGTAACCTGGACGGAAAGCTGTAATCCACCTGAGCCATGCAGGAAGATCAGCGAGGCGCTGTGCCTCCCAGCCGGCGAAACCATGCAGCGATGCAGGCGTGCTGAGCCCGACGTGGCGGCCATGACTGCGGCCTGAACCAGAGCTGCACGGGCCCCGCCCCTACGCCGTCCTGCGGGCCCGCGCACGTAGGCGCGCACGGGGCGCGCCTGGAGACGCGCTTGCGCAGCGGGGTTGCGCAGCCCGGCCTCTGGGCGAAGTCTGAGTCCATTAGGCTGTACTGAGGGTTTGCATTTGCTAGGACTGGCGTCATACAGGTGACCGCTTTGGTAAGGTTAATGGATCTACTTATTTGCTGTAGGATTTTCAACTGCAGTCCGAAAATTCAAGATTGCTTTTTCATTTGGAGACATATAGGTGTTATGATTTACCACTGGGCCACTTGGGAAGCCCCATGTGAGTATCTGAAATAGGCAGATTCATCAAGAGAGAGTAGTGGTTACCAAGGGCTCAGGGGAGCAGGGAATGAGAAGATATTGTTCAGTGGGTACAGAGTTTTTGTTTGGAATGATGAAAATTTTCTAGAAATAGTGGTGATGATTATACTACATGGTGAATGTATTGTATTTCATGCCACTGAAACTTGTCACTTATAAATGGTAAATATTTTGCTGTGTAGATTTTATCACAGTTTTTAAAATACAAAAAAAAAAATAGCTTAAAAGTTTTCTATATCAAGCCCTACCCTAACAGTAGAGATCTTTTAATACTGATGGCTTCAGCCCCAGAAGGGGCTTCCCAGGAGGCGCCAGGGATAAGGAATCTGCCTGCAATGAAGGAGACTCAAGAGACGTGAGTTCAATCCCTGGGATGGGAAGATCCCCTGAAGTAGGAAATGGCAACCCACTCCAGTATTCTTGCCTGGGATATCCCATGGACAGAGGATCCTGGCGGGCTATCGTCCAGGACGAACACAGTCAAACATGATTGAGCAGCCTTGCATGCAGCCCTGGCAGGTGGCTCCTGCCTCCTGTAAAATTCAACAAGAAACTGCAGAACTTTTAAGTGCCCTTAAACACTAACCTTCCATTCATTGTAGACTGCACCATATTTAAGCAGTTGCCACTTTTATTTGCTCATGGTAATTTTGTTACTCCCAATTGACTAAACTGCTTATCTTCATGGATCAGATGCCAAGATAAGCTGTATGCTATCACAGTGTTATACCAATGCTGTCACAGGAATGGCCCTAAATGCCATTACTTAAGCAGAGCAAAAAAAGATGAGTCATTTCTCAAGTCTCTAGACCTTCCGCAGAGAATACTGAGAACAAAGTAATTAAGGAGGAAAGGCTGGGATGGACAGAGCTCTGATAGCCAATTCTCAGAAATTGCTTTGGTCTTTAGAACCGCCTTCCCCACTTGAATTCTGAATAACTTTCAAGAGCCAGGTGAGAAGAGGGTGGTGCTTAGGAGAGACCACTGGATGTATGCCAGGTAAGGCTTTGATTACTCTTAGAACTCCATTTACTGCCTGGAAAACTTTGCTGTGCCCCACCCCCCTGCATTTGAAATGACAAGAAAAATCAGAAGCATAATTATGATGATTATTGTTGCTAATAATAATAATAAACTCCTGAAATTCATTGGGACTTACTAACTGTGAAGCGCTGTCATAAGTAAATTCCTGTGAAACAGACAAGCTGGAACCTGGGCTCTGGGACCTTTTGCTGCAGTGCTTGCACCTGGATAGATGTCTCCTCCAGCAGCAAAATATTAATACAAAGAAACTATAAGGGACTAAAAATAACTGTGTGCATGTGCAGTTGGGGAAAATTATGGAGAACAAGATACAGAAAGACCAGCTGCCACTTATGAAGAGCTAGGAGCTAAAGCAGGGGACTGCAGGTGCTTCATACACATAGCACCATCAAAGGCAGTAGGCAAACCAGTTAAGCCACTCCTCCCGCCCAACATCTGGGCACACCCCTACCCTCTCCATATGGAAAGAGCTAGTTCTTTACCACCATCCTCCCCCAACCCCTGCCCCCCACCGCCCTGCCTCCGTGAGCAGGGGAGCAAGGAAACCTGTTGCTTGTTCTTCCTCCCAGTCTGCTGCAGCAGGGACTCCAATAAAGCCTTTGAATTTTTTGTCCAGCCTCTTATCAATTCCTATTGATTAAGGTGGCCATAAAACCTGATCTGTAACAAAGCTGCATACTGTTACTCTGTTTTGGCCAGTGAGGCTCAAAGGGCTGAAGAACTTAGCTCAGCGGTCATAACTGCTAGCCATTTGTAGAGCCTGGATTCATATATTGGTTCTATCTGACTCCAAAGTCCAGGACCTTAACTGTTACATAGATTTTATACATGAGTTTACAAAAATTAGTGTTATGTTCCAACTATTTTATTTTAGGAAAAAAAAAAAGAAAAATGCTTCTGGGATTTAAACTGTAGCTCTTCAGAGTCTTATCGATTAGGAGTTCCTGTGTTTCTTCAGATATCCCCAAGTCTCCTGGTTTTAATTCCTGATTTGCTCCTACACCTTGAATAAGCACCAGTTCACCTTGAAGGAGCATAGTTTAAGCAGGTACCTGAATGCTGGGATTCTGAGTTTCACCTAAAATTTGAGCCTTCCCAGATTTAGGATCATTATTGGAATAAGCCAGATTTTTCCAAACCTAATCAAAATACCCCTTTGTTTCCAGTGATTTCAATGCTTAGCTATTGTTGCTATTCCTTTCATCTTTATTTATAGAACAAACAGAAGGTTTTAGATTACTGTATTTAGAAATGCCATCTGTTAGGCAACTATTGAAAAAACTGTTTTGTTCCTTTCATGTAACTTTGTTTTGTAACTTTCATGGTCTTTTTATCCATTACTTTGAAATGTAATTAAGTTTCAGGATGGTTGTTTGCTTCTTTTTATGGTGGATCTTTTGCCCTTTTGAACTTGGGGGAAGAGTTATCCTTGGGAGATTCTTGCTCATACACTCTTTTACTCTTTTGTATCTCTTCTTTTTGTTGTTGTTGTTACTCATTTCCTTTCAGCTAATCTATGTGCCTTTTACTGATGCACTCCCTTTTGGTAATTTCATTGTTTAAACTCAGAACAACAGGTAAATAAAAGCAAAAACAAAATAAAAAACCAATAACCAGCCCTCCCTTTTTGCAGTGTTTTAAGCCCCATTTGGATCTAAAGATATAAATGGTAGTGTTGGTATTTAGTTTGCTGCTATATATTTAGAAATCCTTAAGGGCATGTTTATTAGTTTTTTAAAAAAGCTTGAAAGATTAGCCATTTAGAGTAGTATATTTGGTACTTTCAAATGATCACAGTTAAATGGAATCACTTTAGTCATGAAGACAAGACAATTTTTATATTTTCTTTTGTTATTCTAGAGCATCAAATCTTACCCTTTCCATTGGTTGGTTTTTATCTGTTGCATTATTCCAATGGACATAGAAAAATACACACACACACACACACACACATTTATAAATGATACATAGTGGACAGAATGTCTCAGCATTAGGTAACTTTGTAAATTTTGCAAGTTAGCAAAGTAAATTCCTTTATACTTTCTCCTTACATTTTATGAAATAAAAACTAGAAAACACTTATAGGTCCTGAATTCTTATTAAACAATAAAACTGAACTTTTTAGAAATGAATGGCTATATGAGATTATGAACTTTAGTATGGTCATTTTCTCAATTCTAGGGACCTTAAATTTTTTTCAGTTCAATGCTTCTGGATAAAGATGTGAAGAGTCCTCCTACTTTACCCCACTATTCCTACTAGATATACATGGCATACACACATGGGGTCTTTGCAGACCAGGAGGTCACCTGGGGCGTTGTGTGCTAGGCTGAGGCAGCATGGTGGGGATGATAAATGACTTACTCAAATGTGGACCAAATACAGTCCTGGAAGATGGGCACTTATCACTCCTGTTGTATTATTAACAGAGTGATTCACATCAAAGCAGTGTACAGGCCTTGGGTGAGGACAGTGGAAGTTTCTGCCTCAGACACAGGCTGGGTGTCAGTATATGTGACTGGACACTGGAACAATGTTCTCAGCATCGTCATATGACTCTTCTTTAGGAAAGGGATCATCTCCCTTTTGACCACTTTGCATGATGAGTTCCCATATTCCTAAGCTACTTTCTGGAGACACCTCCTAGTCAGCTTTCTCTAAGTCCTTATAATCCTCTTGGGAATCCCTCTATTGATCTTCGTAATGTCTGTGGACTCTCCCATCCATTCTTTACTCTTTCATGACAGATCTTGATGGCTCTTCAATTTCAGAGCAAGAGTTATTAGCAGTGCCTAACCAGATCCCACTCCCTTGAAGGCATGGAAGGCTCAGTCTTCAGACTGTCCCATGAGCTGCGGGGAAGATGATGCTTGCCTTACATGTATATTTTTTGAAAAAAAAAAGGAAAGTAAAAAGAGAAGTTTCCCTATTAATACAGTTTGAACATTTATGTCCTGCCACATCCATTTAAGAACAGATGAAATATAAATGTAATCATAATAGCATGCAATGAGCAGAGTATTGAAGTGATATTCCAACTTCAGGAGTAACAAGCTGTGTAACATTATACAGGCCATTTAGTCTCTTTGGACCGGTTTTTCCAACTGTGAAATCAAGGAGTAGGGCTTGGTAAGCTCTCAAGTTCTGTGATTCTACGATCATGAAAGAATTTAAATTTATGACACATGCCACTTTTATAAATATATTTAATTATGCTTTTAATATTATGGCTCAACACTCTTTATTATACTGCACAAACTTTTGTTTAGTAGTATCAGAAATATCAGCAAATATAATTTTCCTTCTTCCTTGGGTGGCTGATTTTAGTACCTTTAGTCTCTACTTTCTTCATGATGGTTTCTAAAAACCAGGAAAAAGAGAGTTTAAAGGATCTTTTAAAAAAACAATCAGATCATACGAATCCATCTTTGCAATTTATAAAGTAACTGCAATTTATTCTGAAGTGAACTACTTTCTAGTTATCTATCTATCCCTATCATTGATCAATAGGAAATATTTATGTAAAGGTATGACAATGGATTTTCTATTGTCATATCTATATTTTATTAGAATATACAGAAACT